CGCAGCCACGGGAATGAGGAAAGCAAGCCACTCGGGCAGATTCGATGCAAGCTCGGAAGTCTTTGTGGAGCTGGAAAGCCATCTCCTGCTGCTACTACTACTACTACTACTACTATGACGACGACGACACAATCTTATTCTAGTTACCCAGAGCAACCGACGACCCCGCGGAGTCCACACGTGAAATGTGATGGCGGCTCGCTTCGAATGTGCATGCAGGCGGGTGGGCTTGCAGCGCCTCCCCCGTGGGGCTCGCGAAGCGAGCCCCCGCCACATTTCAAGCGTGGACGTTGCGGTGTCGTAGGTGGCTCTGAGTAGCTAGAATAACATTGTCAGTGGGCACCGGCCAAACCGGGTAGCTGTTCTCTGAAACCTATCCTCATGAAGCCATCTTTCTGCGGGCACCTGCCAAACCGGGTAGCTATTTTCTGAAGCCTATACACGTTGCACCATGCTTATCCGCCCCTCATGACGCCATCTTTCTGCTGTACTGCGCTCCGCTCACTCTTGGGCTGCCCCTTTGCCAAGCCGTTTTGGCTTCCCGTCACCGTCCGCTTCGATGAAGGCCAAATTGAGGCGCAGTACAAATAGACAGCAGGATGGGTGATGCTGTGTGCAAATGTATAGGTTTCAGGTTTGGCGGAGAGCGACGCGACGATATGGTCGGGGCCAGGGTGCTGATGGAACCCCCAGTGCTCATTGAAGCCCCAGCGAATCAAGGTGGGCGTAAGCGATGGCAGCGTGTGCAAGGGGTGGGCCTTTAAACGCGGGAGGGGGTGCGGGGGAGGGCGGAGCGCCTCCCCCGCGAGGCTCGCGAAGCGAGCCCCCATCACATTTCACACGTGGACTCCGCGGGGTCGTCGGTTGCTCTGGGTAACTAGAATCAGATTGTATTAAACAGTGGGCACCAAGCGTGGCAGCGGAGCTCTCCACCAAACCGGGCGCTTTCTTCTGAAACCTAAACACTTTGCACCATGCTTATCCCCTCATGAACCATCTTTCCGCTGTACTGCGCTCCGCTCACTCTTGCGCTGTCCCTGTGTCAAACCGTTTTGGCTTCGCGTCGCCGCCCGTAACCTTTGGGAAGATGCGGAATTGGTGCAGCGCGTGACATGTGTGAAGTTTGCCGGAAAGAATGGCGGCGTCAGTCCGCGTAATGGCGGCGTAAATTACCGTAATCATTTTGGCAACATTTGTCAACCATGGACCACTGAGATTGCTTGGCTTATCAGGGTGGAGCATACACATGAGCGCAAAACTCTTGTTATAGGGGGTGGTCAATTGTCAGACCGTGCACAATGACCTTGGAGAATGACCCTGAGTACCAGAAGTTGGGTATAGTTGGGTAAATTTGGCAATGGGAATCGTAGAGCAGGCAGGGATTTGGGATTGCGATGAGTGGAGGTGAGTGGGGGTTTGGTTTCTACCTGGTGTTACTTGGGGAATCTAACTGAGTATCCTTGAGCCTGGCGCGGAGGAGACATGCACCATCCTTCCCCATATATGGAATGTGGCGTTTTGTTTTCTGGCGGCGTTTTGCTTGGACTCATGCTTCTTATTATCTACGCTTCACGGACCGCACTGTGTATACTCTGTTTGCATCGCGGGGGACGTCATGTGGTAGCGGTAGTAGTTGCAGTTGTAGTGATAGTAGTACTGGTGTAGACAGAGAGTATAGACAGAGAAGCTCACAAACAGCATCATCACGCACCCTAGTACTACTTTACTACTACTTTACTACTACTACTACTACCACTACTACTCCTGCTACTACTACTACTACTACTCCTGCTACTACTACCACTACTGCTACTACTACTACTACAACGACGACTACGACTACGACTACGACTACTGCTACGACTACTGCTACTACTACTGCTGCTACTACGACGACTATATCAACCTATAACACGGGAACAATAAAAAGCTTGGCGGGGACAGAAAACAACATCACACGGGAACGGAAAACAACACACGCCGAGAACAGAAAACAATGCGGGAACAGAAAACAACATTGTGGGAAAAAAGAAAGGGCGGGAAGGCAAAACAACATTCCGGGAACACAAAACAACAAACCCGTATCGTATCCCTCAACCAAGGTTGTGCAAAACCAAAGCTACTTTAAGCTTGACCAAGCTGGTGACTGGCCGTGGCCAAAACAGACACAAGAACCGTGAGCGAGTCAGGTTCACCAAGACAAGATTTTGGCTGCGCACAGAGCAAGCCAGAAAGGCTGCCTGCGACCAAGCTTTCCATGATGTACAGCTACAAGCCATATCAGCCGCTGGGCAGGATGCAGCTGCCTGCAAGTGCCGCCCAGCCCTTGATGGCGATGCCATCTTCGTGCCCGGAGGATGTGTTAACATCACCATCGCTGCGGTGATGGTCAAAACCACCTTTGCATTGAAAGGCCCTTTTTGGATTGAACTCAGTGCAGAAGCTGTTAAGGCCGTGCTTACAGCCTTGAAACGATCTACAGATCACCAGCCTGGATCCCCCAAGAAAAGGGCCAAGCCCAGGGCGAAGAGGAGAGCCAAGAGAGATATAGACGCGCTGGCTGGTGATGACCACCACGCTGAGGGTGACGACCATGCTGAGCATCAAGAAGCTGAGGCGGCTCCTGCAGATGAAGCTGCAGCAACAGAACATTCATCATGAATGTTGAGTGAACAAGGCCATGCGTACAGGGCAGCGTAGCTTCAGGGTAGCGTTCGAAGTTGTTGGGCTGCGTTGTAAATACTATAGGGCAACACATGCGTGCGAAGGAGACAAAATCGCACACACCTCAGCATTCTCAAGCACCGGCGAGTGCAACCCAGCTTCGGCGCAAACAGCGAGCAAAGCCCTGCATGTTTCCAGGATAGATTGCCTTGATATGTGTGGCTCCTTCAGCCTGCGCATGTGAATAGCAGCAACATGTTTTCCACAGCTACAACAACGCAAGGAATCATGAAACCACATTGGCTTACATTATGACTGGTCCACTGCATCTGTGAAAGCTCCCTCACCTGCCACCATGTCGGAGCGATGGCAAGCATTCCTCGAGGAAGTCCAGGGCCTTCATGATTTATTTGAAAATCAAAAGAAGGTTCTAGATGTTGCAGGCTTGCAGACGCTGATGAGCCACCATGTCCGTCAGATCCTGTCTAGGGACAACTTGTTCTGCGATCCTGCTGGCGCCACGGCCTTCACAGAGCTGGTCTCAAGAGGACCCTGGACAGCAGAGCAGAAGAAAGAGCTGAGCAAGTGGGCCAGCGATGTGTTGCTCTCCTCATCAGGATCCAAAAATTCACTGAAACGTGAGACTCAGGTGATCAACACTTTTGCGCACTACTTCAGTGCCAAAGATGTGCAGATCCTGTCCAACCCTCGCGAGGACCTCACCATCAAGCTCGACTGCGCTTGGGCCTGCATGTCTTGAGAAATTGTTTTTGTTTAGATAAGATATGTTGTTTTGGTCATATGGTGGCACTGTAGACAGCATCCTGGCTGCACACATCGCCCGGCAGGCATTGTGAGCAGGCTGCAGAAGGTCGGGCTCCACTTGTCCAAAGAACAGACCTGGGGCAAAATCCTCCAAGCCGCTCAGGCGGCCGGGCTGCAGGTTGAGGATGAAGCCGCATCCGTGGCCTTCAAGAGACGGTTGAAGCACTCGCTTCAGAAACGACCAGTCTTGGTCAGCAGCCATAGGGTGAGTTTCCCCATCCACCCACAGGACTTGCCCTGGTTCAAGGAGGCCTATGGGGACGAGCTTCCTCATGACTTGGATGAGGCCACTGTGATGACCAAAAGTGTTAAGCTGCGGAAAAGCAAAGGTGGTGCCAGCGCCTCAAGCAGTGCCTACACTGCACCCCAGGGTGCCAATGTGCCTCCACAGGCCATGGGCTGGGAGCCCCTTGCTATGATGATGGCCAACATGATGAATTTCCAGTCTGCAGGATTCCAACATGCCCAAAATGCAGTACTCCAGCGGAACAAGAAAAGGAAGATGCTCGAGGATGGCCAACCGGCCGCTGACCCACACCAGCCTGAGAAGCCGAAGCCGCTGACAGAAGCTCATGGATCGGACTGCAGAGCCTGCTGCTAGCGTGAAACCTGAAGCTTCACCAGTTCAGCAAAAGGAAGCTGCTCAGGATCAACCCAGCCAGGTTGCAGAGCAAAAGAAGTCAGAAGCTGCGCTGTTGGAGTTGCCAAAGCCTAGCGCTACGGCACCACCCATTCCGAAAGCTGGAGCTCCGTCCGGCAAGAGCAAGCCTAAAGCGAAGGCAAAGGCAAAGGTGAAGAGTGGAGCAAAACCAAAGGGGAAAGCTGCTGCTAAAGCCAAAGCAGGATCCTTGCACCTGAAATGGCCGGGCACGAAGGCACAAGAGCCGATCCACGCACGTGGTCATATCATCTATGTTTGCCCACAGAGCTCCAACTACCGTTTGCGCAAAAGTGGTGAGAGGAATGACAAGGCTTTCAGTTGGAAAGCAGTTGATCCTCACGTTGCCTGGAAACGGCTCGTGACCCATTTGTCCGAACAGGATTAGGGGGAGCCCTGCGCAGGGCTGTACTTTGGTCGCTTCACCGCGGCGCAAAGTCATTTCGGTTCATGGGGAGAAAAAGAGTTTTGCATTGCCTGCTGCTGTTTGCTCTGTAAAGTTCTTGATGTTCACCATCCTTTCGTCGGCCTCCAACTGTCCTGCCTCGAGCCGAGATGAGGCTTTGTACCAATAGATCCCGCAACTGCCATGCATGTAATGATTGCCATCACTTCGCTGTCGTGTTTAAATCTTGTGATGTTTAGACCTGTATGCAACATCTCTTTGGTTTCATGTATATACAGTTGTTTTGCACATATGGTTGCAGGTGTCACCATACATTGCCCTGCAGCACGCGTACGTATAGTCATGCCGTCCAAACTTGTGTTTTTTCCCGTACATAGAGTTTGCGCACGCTGAGCTTTTCTCGCTGCGCCGAGGGAGCGGGCTTGCTCGCCCCTATATAGGTTGGCCATGGCGTTGGATCTCAGTCGCCTTGGCAACAGAAGCTTTATCAGCCAGGCTGGCATAGCTGAGGTGCTGCAGGCAGTTGCTGAAACCGGCAAGGTTCCAACTGCAGCGTCCAAGAGCACGGTCAAGCGTCGGCGAGACGCTGCCGTGGACCTGGAAACACCATATGGCAAGCTGCTCTGTCATTTTGATCTCCCTTTGGAGGATGGCCAGGTTGTGAGCTTACCAACTGCAATCCTGCGGCTTTTTTATATCACAGCAGCAGAAACTTTCCACGGATGCAAAGTTTGCTTGACACATCGCAGCGAAACAAGCCCAACAGCATGGCTTCCAAGTGGCAATTGATCCTCTATATGGACGAGGTGTCTCCTGGAAATCAATTAAAAGTTACAAACCGACGAAAACTTCAAGCCATATATTATGCCATCAAGCAGTACGGCGGCTTGCAGCTCACCCAGGAACATGCCTGGACAGTCTTAACGGCAGTGAGAACTGAAACGGTGAACAAAACTCGAGGTGGAATGTCTCGGTTGTTTGGTGAGTGCATAAAGCTTTTTTTCCAAGACGGTGGCCACATGGGCAAGGGAATTTCTCTTCAGGTGGGCGGCGAGCCCCAATTTTGCTGTTTTGAACTGTGCGGCGTCTTGGCAGATGAGTCGGCGCTGAAGCAGGCCTTTGAGTGCAAGGGGGCATCGGGGCGTATGCTCTGTATGATGTGCCAGACCACTTGCCACAAACGGCTGGCTCCATCTCCCTTGCCTCCAAGGTATGTGCTGCATACGGAACACAACAGTGACAATTTCACGCTGTCGACCGACCAGAGCGTCTGGGCTATCGTTGACCACTTGCAGCATCAAGCAGCTTTGCCCGGACTCAGCAAGAAGAAATTCGCCGATGAAGAGGTGCGGCTAGGATGGAATTATTGCCCAGATGGGGCGAGGCTGGACATTCCTCTAAGAGAACACCTCAGGCCAGTCTCAGTGGCTTGTTATGACAGTATGCACGTGTACCTAGTGGCAGGAATATGGCGCAGAGAAACAGGCCTTCTCATGAATTGCCTGCAGAGCAACGGATTCAGGCAAGTTGCTTTACATGAGTTCTCTACAGCTTTCGTTTGGCCTAAAATTCACGGGGGCAAATCCTGCTCTGCAAGGGTGGTGTTCCAAAAGGAAAAAGAAACGGATTCAGAGTTTAAATGCACCAGCTCGGATGCTCTGGCAATTTACCCAGTACTCCGGTCATACTTACAAAACATGATCCGAGACCCCCCTCATGAATTACAGCTGGCCATCAACAGCTACTATCTCTGTTGCGACGTCCTGGATGCCTTGAAGCCTGCAGCTGTGGGGGCCATCACTCCAGCAGAATTGAAGAGCAAGATCGAAGCCCACTTGAAATATTTCAAGGCCCGTTGCTGCGTAACATGTTCTTGCAACAACATATCACTTGGCCTTGGGGTCTATGTATGATGTTTGCTCAGTCAAGGTCACATGTTTATGCCTTGTGTGCCGGCTCTGCAGGCATGTCACGGTGACCAACACGTGCTTCCGAAGCACCACCTGGCAATGCATTTGGCTATGCAGCTTCAACGACATGGAGCGCTTTGGACATGTTTTGTCCACGAAAGACGCCACAAGATTTTGAAGAGGCCAGGTGAACATGTAAACAAAATCCTATGTCTGATGTCGAGAGATGTGTAATCGAATTGGGCTGACCAACAGCACAGCGGAGCAAAAGGCATGGAGAAAGCATTATTGAGAGAGGTCACTTTGACAACTTTGACCCATTGGCATGACCTCAGGGAAATGGCCGAGGATGCTTTCAAGCCTGCAGGCGATGC